TTGTTCGCTTAGACGTCGCTGGTCGACTTTGTCCGCTGCAGGCCCTACCTTTGCGTTTGGAACCGTCTGGATCGTTTGCTCTTGCCTCAACAGAAGTTGCTTGCCTCTTCACGTTCGATAATGCATCCATCAACTAAATGTATTTACTGTGCTGATTCCATTTTGGCACACACATTTGCATCGCAGTCTCTGTGCCTGCGCAAAATGCTTTATTCTCACTTTAGTGGATATTATGAGGATAAACGAGACTTTGGGGAAGTTTTGAAAATTTCTGGAAACTCTAAAATTATTAAACGTCTATTCAGGCAAGCAGCTGGGAACCCAGTTCATTAAAGAAAACCAAGCGTATCCAACAGAACTGTCTGCACTGAATTGATTATGGCTTTGCCGAGTAGTAAAAATTTGTCGTTTGATGAGCAGCAGATTTAAGTACGAGCAGGCAGCCTTAGCAAGTGCCTTGCGCGGCGAGATTTTTCTGGCCACAAACACCAATTTTGCTGAAGTTCTTTTGACAAACGAAAGCAAATTCGAGTTCTGTCATTCGTTTAAGGAATTCTTTATAAGCAGATAAGATCAGTTTCTTTTCAGTAATCGCTGAGTTTTTGGGCTTGTACTTTAGTTTTCAGGCAGATAACGTCTGTACGGCAAGCAGATATTGTCTACGTTTCAGTCTTTAAAGTTCCTGTGTGGGGGATTTCGGTGGATTTTGATGCAGGCACCACATTTCCTTTGCCTTCTCTTTTGCTTTTTGCCCCACTAGATCTAACTTTTTGATTTTCGATTTCTGAATTATAGTAATGTGCTGTCAATTGCAGATCATTTCCGTCACTGACAAAAGTCTCTTCAAAAAATCGAAGTGTCCATGGCACAAATCCACAGTCACGCGGCGACTCATCGCTCGAATTAGAAGCTATTGCTGCCGTACATGAACTGTCGTTTGCTGTAAAAATAATTTCGGTTTCAGAAATTCTTCCGCGTACGCCGGACCTGATCTTTGTCAACCTCACTACTACTGAAGGTCACTGCAATTTGAAGCACATTAAATTGATTATGCATTAACAGTACACTCTGTTGACTTTCCAACTTTCGTTTTAACACAATTACACTAAGACTTTCGTACTTCCAAGCACTGTTTTAATATTTGTCAGGTGATTTTGACAAACTTTACTTAATTTTCGTCTTCTACGCGCATTTTTTGATTTTTTGCTTTTAGTCTTTTCGGCTGTTTTTCTCTCCTTAGTCTAACTTTTTCACACATAGGTGTTTCTTGTATCCAAAGAGTGCGCAGGAGCGGCATTAGCACTATTTGCTCCGGGATGAGCACCAAAATTTTAGTGGTATGTTTTCAGGACAGCCATACTGCCTTGAACTGACAATGAAAGGTTGGCGTGTAACGTCATTACGGCACGATTGTATGCAAGGAGATTTTACGCGGCTGGATCTCTTCACAACCTATTACGACACGTTATATGATCTGATGGATGAGCTTTCACCTGGCTACAGAAATCGTTTCAACGAGAAGTTAGCACAAAAACTACGAATGCTTCAGGTAGCTGCGTATCATATCCGTTCATGTACGCTCTAATTTCTTCAGACAGTTCAGTTACTCCAATTTTTTTTTTCAGTTGCTAGATTACTGGTTCAAACCTAGCAACACCGATACATAGCAGGAGTGTAATTGCTTTTTATGCGTTTTTGCCGTACAGCGCTATAGCTGCTACAGCCAGCAAAAAGGCGTATTGTCGAGAGGT